AAAAAAAAAAAAGAAAAGTATCGACGATTAAAACTTACTGATCATTTTCAAGCATCTTCCGGAAATATCAGAGAAGAACCATGTTCCATGGTGTTCTTCTGGGTTTCTAGGATTGATTGATCGTAGAGCCCTGAAAGATCGTATCAATCTAGAGAAACCATGGTATATTAAATCGGTAGGATTTAATTGATTGGAATTATCTTCCATGTTGTCGATGGGAAGTTGAAATTCGGATAATCGATTATTATTAATCGAAAATCTAATGGCGTCATTATAATATATGTGACGACGTATAGAGCTTTCAACAGGACGGACAATGTAAGTAGTAGTTGGTTTATGAAAAGTTTTAGAAACCCTGACCTCAACGTTGGGTTTTGGGTTGACCTTAAATTCGGGTAAGAATTCGACGTTGGATTCGACCTTAAATTCAGGTAAGACCTTAACGTTGACCTTGATAGAAGGTGACACCCTAACGCAAGTGGCGCTCTCCAACAATGATGATTCTGAAGTTGTTGAACAGCTTCCTACCATATCGGCGGTTCTGAAAACAGAAATAGAAGAAACCATATGAGTTTTTATCAATGATTGATAATTCACCGACATTACGTTATATTTTATCGGTTATCGTATATATTGATTTCTAATTTTTATATTGACGATAAATTTATTTTGAAATTGGTTGATTGTATTTTTAATACAATTTACTTTATTTTTTTTTTTAAATTAATTTTAATGATTATTGTATAGAGATTGGTATCTATTTTTATTATACTATTTTTTAATGATCACCATATATATTGGTATTCACAAACACTGTCAGTGTAGGTTTTATTATATTAATAAAAATATTAATTTTTATTATATAACAAAAGTAAAATAATTTTTATTCGATATAAAGTACAAATAATTTACTTTAGTTTTTATTCATATCGAATAATATAACAAACGTATAATCAAAATAAAAAATTAATAATGTTAGTAGGTTTTACTATACTATTTTTTAATGATCACCATATATATTGGTATCTATTTTCACAAACACACTGTCAATATAGGTTTTATTATATTAATAAAAATATTAATTTTTATTATATAACAAAAGTAAAATAATTTTTATTCGATATAAAGAACAATTAGTTTACTTTAGTTTTTATTCATATCGAATAATATAACAAACGTATAATCAAAATAAAAAATTAATAATAATTGTAAAAAATTCTACAATATATCAACGATCACCTATCAACTAATTAACAAATGGAAACTTCCTCCCCTCCTCCTCCCTCCCCTCACTCCTCCTTCAGAATGATCGAACGTACGATGAACCCAAAAATCAATTTCCAATGCTGGAATATATTGATATTCAATTGATTCCTGTTTACGAAAATGCAAACAGTTATAAAACGGTCAGCTACCCTTGCCCAGGGGGTTGATTCTAATTTATTAACAATAACGCGTTCTATGAAATCCTTGTTACGTTGGTAGCAACAACGTGTGTGATAATATCAATTTATTGTTTCACCCTTTTCTCATTCTCTCTCTTTCTTTTTAACTGTCAACCATTTTTCTCTCAATTTATTATTTGTATTTTTTTCCATATTTTATTTATTCGAACAATATAAAAGCACGTACCTATCAACAAATCGAGTATTTTGAGAAGTCCGCTTTATAACTCTGAAATATTTATCGGCTAATCGTAAAGTCGCTAAAGCACAAAAGTTTAAAGCCCAATAAATTTCAATTACTTATGAACTCGAAAACTTTTCCATCAAGAGAATTATTCGAACGTTTGGGTTATTTTTTTTTTCGTTCTCTCTCTTTTTTTTGTTTTTTTATATATATATAAAAAATTTAAAAGCCATCATCTCTTTTTTTTTTTTTCGAGAATTTTCGTTTTTTTTCGTAAACTTGCTTGATATCGGAATTATTTATACATTTATATTTGTCGATAATAATTTATTAATAAAAGTAGAGTTAAAATTTGTATTGGTATTGGTAATACTCATATTTCATGTGTGCAGTTAATTAAACAATTAGCCCTTTGAGAACACGTGTGATCATACTGATAATGATAATAGGGATTTGCTATAAAACTCTTATGTCATTTCTGATTGAACACGAACAATAATTAATTAATCTGATGATACATTTATTATTTTCCGATATAGAATAGTCAAAGGAAATGATATTATAGATTACAATAATTCCAATTCTTTCAGTAATTAAGCATCATTGACGAAACTTAATATTACAATAATATTAAATCAAATTGTTATAATATATTCAAAGGATTAAACTTTATCAATGGTTAAAAATCTTTTTTTAAATGAATAACAATAATCATTTGTTCGTGTAAAATATTTCTAAATTATTACCATTGCGATGTATACGAAATGATTAAATATAAATTATATTATAATAATTAAAGTTTTTTTTATATATAATATATATAACGATGTAAATAATTTATTAAATGAATAAAAGTATAA